GGCCTGACGTAGCGTATTACGTGTGTTAATGTATTTTTATTTATTTCCGGGAGCAATGAGAGAGTCTTTTTTTTTATTTCAACCGGCCAGTAAGTTTATTGACATTGGCGCGTAATTTTTTTTTAATGAAACGTATGTAAACACGGCGCGGGCTGTTTGTTTACGGCTCCTGTTTTTTTTCTTTCTGAGCTAAAACTGTTAGTTGTGCTGGCTATTGCTGTTTGTGACTATTAGGATTAGACTAACTTTTTTTTTTTAAATTAAATGTCAACGTCAATTTTGACATGTCAAAATGACAAATGTCATTTCTATTTCTAAATTCTAACCCTATTTAATACTTTTATGCGTGTCTTGTTCCTATGTTATATAAAAAAAATGTAGCTATACGAATAAGCCGGTCGGATCTAAAAACATTTCAAATCCAAGTCAGAACAGGCTCGTGGACACCGGTTGACCACAAGGAGCCGTCTAATTGCTGAGATTTACGGCTAGGGATGTGTTGGCTAAATTGAAAATCGACTATAAATTAGCCGGCTAACGGACGGCGTTCGGACACTACTTACAACGTCTATGGTAATTAATATAATTATGTGTCGCGATTAGTAAATAATGCTCCATTTACATAAAATACATTTTTAATGTTCGTTTTCCTTATTAATATATTGTTTATTATACTTTTTTTGTTAGTTATTTTGTTTTAATATTGTATTGAATCTTTTAAAAAAAAAATGTGATGTAATATTATGTAAAAATAATGCATAGAAAAAATTACGTAATGAAAGTGTTTTTACTGTGTTATGTATAGGTACAAGATCTAAAAGACCGCGGAAATAACAAATAAATATAGAATCTATACAGCCGATGAGTGAAATGAAAGACCTTTGTCAGAGCATTTTATGAACGAGGCAAAGGAAAAAACCGCAATCCTTCAAAAGTTCTATAAAACTTATTTGTTACAGAGCACTTATTTGGAGGATTACCCTTTGCTGTCTTCCTTTGTCTTCAAAGCTTCTTTAAAGAATCTTTTAATGAATAAAAACTCATTATGGAACTTTTTAAGTACACTTGTATTCAGAATCGCTCATAATTAAGATCTAATAATTATTTCTTTTTTTTTTAATAAAATTTTCAGCCAGTATTATTTTTTAGTTCCAAAGAGGTTTGCTATATAAAAGATATTTTTCGTTAAAATAAATCAAACGTCAATATAAAGTAACGGCTTCGTGATTCTCGTTAACGTCTTATGACGCTTTTACAGCGGGCTGTTTAAATAAAACTGTAAAAATAAAAAGTACAATTGTATGCGGCGGCGTTCCTCATAAACGGACTTAGTCCCGTCCTAAATTATAAGAGCACAATGATTCGAAAAACATCAAAGGTAGTATTCTAAAACAAAACGCGAATCATCATCCTATTGATAACAAACGATGCAAATTCAACTCTATTGTCAACATAATTAATAGCAAATTACAAAAACAAAGAACATTACTTACGACCTAATACGGAAGGAGATATAAAACTTTTTATCTATCGTTGACATACGAATCTTAATTTATACATACAAAAACCGACTCTATTACTATATATTAGGGTTTATATTAGTATAAACAAGAACGCGTCCCTAATAAAAATTCCCATATTCAAAGTTGTTAGGACGCGACATTAAAGGTGCGCTAATAAAAACGAAGTTAGCTTCTTACCGTCGTTACAAGGTGAGGCCCCCAAGGTGTTGATTTATATGTTTTACGTACACACAATAACAGTAGAAAATAGACGAAAACTCATCATTTTACAATACAATGTATTCACCGTACGGGTGTCGGGTCCATCGTTGTAGAGAGGAGCTTCAACAGTACCTAGGACTTGGGACCCAGGTGTAGGTTTAAGGGACCCTATCTAACGTTAAACGCTCACCTCTACCGTCCAAGCTCCTCTAAGAAAATAACCTACTAGGGCTGCCTTTTATTCATACAAAAAAATAATATTCAAAATGTCGTATATATAATAAAATTTAGTAAGAAATAATTAGTTTTTTTTTATGTTTTTTTTTGCTATCGTTACATCTAAGTGTATGTTTGTAAAGCAATCTTGTGGCATTACGTATAAATTGACATTCGTTTTATCGCCCAGGATACGGCGAGGGGTGAATTTAACTAAGACGTGTGTTCGTAAATTTGTGATGTAAGATTTAGAATACTTTTAAATCGAGTATAATATTAACCGTTTGTTATTCTGATGAGTTTGTATGTTTGTTCGCTTTGATCTCAAGAACTTATTTTCATATTTAAAAAAACCTTTTTATATAGATAGTACTTTTAACGAAACCGGTATAATATACAGGTAAAAAAATCTGACAGAATTTTTGAGAAATTAAAATAAATTTTTATATACGTCACCATTCTAATATCGTGTGGCTTAAAATATTGACGACGTCAGACTTTAAGAAAATCGACATTAAAAACAAGCAAAGTCGCGGGCTGAAACTATGGCCTAGTTTCAGCAAATCGAAATGTACTTTGTATGGAATTGATTGCAGTTCTTCTATCGCCTGGAATTACTACTGGAGATATGAAATGCAGTACACCGATGTTATGATATAAAAAATCAATCAAAACATATCATCATGTCATTGAAATAAGGGCTTTAATGTAAACTATTAAAATTTAATTTGCTTTGAATATAAAGTGCATATACGTTAATAACCGACCATTTTAAATATGACTTTTTATTTAAAATTTTATTCCCGTTTTTATATATTATGAGTGTACATGTTTATTTGTTTGTATAATAGTATTCATTCGTAGATTTATATATCATTATTTGTTGAGATTTTTGTTACCGTTTCAATTAGGTCATGTCTCATCTTTTTGGTTTTTAGACTAGACTGGCACGATGCAAAATCTTCTGGTGAAAAAATTTCAAAGAATATGTCAATAGATTTGATGTTTTTTTAATTTTTTTAACACTATTTACTACAAACATGACAATTCAGAGTGATTTTGGACATATCTCTTTTAAAATTTATATTTTGTTACTAAAGTTACAAATATTATTTGAACATGTTTTAAATCTAGATGAAGAGAGATAAAAACTTACTATTAAAGGTGAGACAAGACACTAAACAAATTTAAACGTTGTTTTTTTTTATTATATGGTTCATATTATTAAATAAAAAATTAACTAAATATATCCATGTTAAATTTTAAATAATGAAACAAAAATATACTTAATAGATGTGAATAACAATCTTTATAAAAAACCAAAAAAAATTAACATAGTACAAAATTGTTTACATATTTACAAAACTAAAAAAATATCGGCCGTAAATGATTTATTTGAAGCCATTCCAAATTCGAAATTCAAAAACGTATTTTATATATAGAACTAATTTATAAATTGACGCACACATACACACGCACGCACACACGCACACTCGCGGTGTTGCGTCAGCTATTTGAATAGATTTCATTTCGTTCAACGCAAATTACTTTTCACCTATACCAATTAGTATAGTATTTTTTTATCGGAGAATCATTCAATAGAATTCAGATAATACAATAAGAATGATCTAGAAAAATATCAATATGTTTTTTCGGAAATGTCATTAGCGTAAACATAATTAATATTAAAGGAGATTATAATATATTAAAATAAATGTCATTGTAATAATATATAAAAAAAACCTTCTTTATAATCAAATGATATTTAAATTTTATTTTTATTTTTTTCGAATCAAGCCACAAGCGAATGTTGTTTTGTAGTAAAAGCAATAAAAATCTCTATAGTAGCGACCTCTTTTGACAATTTTTCTAAGCGACTCAATGACATCTCATTTGTTAAGATTAGATGAAAAATATTATTGTATAAAAACATATTTTATTTGATTTATTTAAACGTATACGTATTATTTAAACAACTTTATTCTCAATGATAAAATAATGAGATAATATTTTATTAATAATTAAATTATTAGATTTTTATAACAATTAAATTGTGAAGTGATAAAAAAGTAATATTTTGAGATTTCGTTGTTATTTAATATTTTTTTATATTTTGTATAAATATGTATGTATATGTTTCTTATAATATTAAAAATTTAAGCAATTTCATAAGAATATATATTATGTCATTGTTTTTAATTTCATTTCGTACATATCTATTTTTAAAAATCACAATTTAATGTTTTTCTGAGTTTTTTTACATTATAATTAAACTTAGACTGCGATATAATTAACGATCTAAATAAGTTTTGAGACTCATAGCGCCATCTATTATAATTAAGTAGTAATTAGAAACTTGTCATATTCAGTGTGAAAGCGATGTGAACTCGAAAGAGAATAAAGCTTCAAACGGCATTAGAAATACTAGATTCAATTCAACCGCTGAAAATGACGATTGTTTGAATAACAAGTGAAATTTGGAACACTTTTGAATGTATGTAACGTACACGCCAATTCAGCGACATGATCAAAACGTCTGTGAAAAACCAATGAAAACGAAAAAGAAACTGCAAACGAAAATGGCCGTTGAATGCCATGCGAAGTGAACGTTGCACTTTCACGATTAAAAAATAAAAAGGGAAATAACGACGCGCTAGAAATGAACCATCGTTTTATAGTTTCATTGACGCCCCGCGAGCAGCACCGGCGCTAGGAGCGCGGGCTAATGACGATTAGTTCCGCTACCCGACACTGCATTAGATTGGCGGCACTTGTCATGTTAATAAAATAATTCGTGAACCTACATATATCTGTTTACGTTCCAACATCTCGCTTCGAAACGGATACGAATATCAAATGTTTATTACTCGTTCAGTAAGAAATTTTATAAAAAATAGTGTAAGCCAAAGGGATTTAAAGTTTTTCATACAAATTTGCACTGATAGCTTATCTGCCATTCATAAAACTACACTCTTTGAACCGTGTGCTGTGTTGAAAAAAAGCGATATTCTTTTATTATTATTCGTTAAGGACGAGTTCGGATATTGTATGCTGTGACGTATGTATAAAAAAAGGATCAAAAGCCAGCGATCACGTGATCGTGTGATCGACAGATCGAAACGGGTCAAGCACAACAGGTGAGGTCCGGACTGTGGAGCGCATCAACTAAAAAATAAAATATCGAAATGCGAAAAATAATAAAAATCAGCAAATATAGTAAATTGAAAAAAGTATAGTTGTATCCTTGTCTGTAGTGGGTCGTGTGTGATAGTGCGTCCCTGTCGTGAGTGCGCGCACGTGGTATCGTCTCGTGTGCGGGGTACTGTCGGCGCGGGGGTCGCGGGGGTCGGCGGGGGCTGGCGGGGGTCGGCGGGGGTTGTCGGTGGACGAGGACGCGGTGCCACATCCCGTCGCGGCCCGCGCCGTCCGGCTGCGTTGCCCGTAACCTCTGACTGACCTCATTTTTTTTCTTCAATGTAAATATTCGGCTCGTTTTGCCGCATAGTCTATAAGTGGTATTAAGTTCCTCCGTCGCGTTTAAATTTTTATTTTATGATTTAAATATATAGACTGGTCAAAATTGATGTTTACTTGAGTGTTTTGGACTTTGGAAATATTTTTGTGACTTGAACTTTGAATATCGGGACTGTGTTAACGTTTAAAAAAACTTTGTTATTATAAGTTTTCTGGTAAGGTTCAAATTTTATTGTTATATTTGTGATCGTAGAAATATTGTTAGTTATAAAAGTTTCGTGTTTCGTGAATAATGAAGGAAGATTTATATTTAATAATATATGTAATTCAGGTAAACAAATGTGAGAACATAAGGTTTCTTCACGCTCCTTGTAAGATATTTTATCGTATGAATTCTAAGACGTAATTTTAATAATTAATTGTCGTAATAAAAAATCTATCTTCACTAATGTAAAATGACAATATAATATTAAAATTGTATAATACAACAAATTTAGATTCTAACTAGGAATTAGGATAAAGTATTGATCGAAAAAAAAATATCCCGTTTAAAAATAAATTTCACACCTATTAATAGTGTCTAAATAAGATTGAGGTAATAAACTTCAAAATTTTCGTTACAAATACATTTTTTAAAGTCGCTAAAGTTTCAAACGTAACTTAAGTAACGAAAGTATCTTAACAAGTCATCTGAAACACATAATATTAAATATATTATATTAATTTTAAAACGAATATTATTTAAGTATTTAATATTACAATCAAATCTTACATTTCTGTTACTATACCGTATTCTGATTAAAGAATTTCTCTAATCCTAGCCGTGTTTTAGAATCATTTGTCGTATAAAAAATGACATAAAACTGTATAACTGATAATACTCAAACATATTAAAAATGTATTGTTTGATAAATATAAGAAACTGTTTGAAAACGTTAGATTTCTTTCAATAGTTAGCGTCTATATATTTCTATGATTTAATTTTGTATGACGTAAAATGTGTCTTAAAAATCTAAAAATTTGTTCTGAAAAAGCTAATCTCGTGAGATTTAGAATAATCGAAATTATGTAAGAAAATATATTTACATAAGTTCATTTATAATAATTGTATTCGTTCGTAAATTTTATTTACATGTGTAATATTTAAATAATAACATTTAGTATTCACAAAAACAATATCTCAACCGTAAAATCACGTATCTTCAGTAAGAGATTCCTTCACGGCGAACTTGGAGTCGCTCCTTGTTAAAATAATACGTTCAGAAGTCATTCACATTTAATATATTAACTGTGAATGATTCGGAAATGAAATGTTTACAATATATATTTTTTAAACCGCGGGAATTTACGTATAAAAATACTCGGCAACCAGCGTCCATTATTATGCATAAAATGTGCTTTAAATACGCATCTCTCATTGATATTGTCGGGGCAGATTACGGGGATTTTTTGCGAATGATTGAATTTTATTTACAATTAACCCGGCCTCGGCATCGGCGAGAGTGAGAGTGACGATTAAATGCCATTTAAAAATAAAACACTTTGCCGCCATAACATTGGACACAGATAACATATGTACTTATGACGTACGGACCGAGCACCACGAATATATTATACGGACGAGCGGCTACATACATACATAACATACACGGAACAGAAACTAATACTGGATCTAAACACTAAAAATATATACGAACGATTAGTATTAGAAATAACGGAACAACATAACGTATAGTTTCTTTGTTACACTCGTTCGTACATTATAAAGGAAGTGTGAAGGCGTGAGGCGGGAACGGAACGTCTTAGATGTAAGGAGCCGGTCAGGCTCACGGGCTGGCTCACTGGCTCACGGCTGGACGGTGATGATGAGGGACCGCCTAATTTGTCTTAGGCGGAAAAATCGCGCGGCGATTACAAGTGGCTCGTAACGAAGTCGGCCCCGCGGCTAGAGAGGAGCGGGGCCGAGGGGGTGAGCGGAGTGCGGGGGAGGGGGGCGGCGGGCGACGCGGGGTGAATAGGGACGGGGGTCCAGGGTGGTGGCGCGGGGGGGGGGACGATCCCGGTGGCGCGGCGGGCAGCGGACAGTCTCAGTCGTCCGTCTGGAGTCGCGGCGGCCGGCCGGGCCGCGCGACGCAATACACGTTCCTCGTGCTCTTGTGATTATAAATTATAATAATACAAAATTCCAAATTATTATTAACAAAAATTTAAAAAAATCTAACCGCGTCTGATTAAAGATATTTTTAGGCGAAAATTTCCCTCGACCCTAACTTTTTTAGAATCCTAAACTGTTGGCAGTGAGAAAAGTTTTTGCAAAATTTTTTAATATTTATGTCGGTTACATTAGTGAAGATATTAGAACGTTTGGCAGTTATCGATGATATTATAATTTAGAATTTTATTTTATAAAACTAACGAGAGCGTCTCGAGTGAGCAATAACTTACGATTAAATTAAGCGTTGAATTAATATTTAAGATTTAGGATCGGACTAGTTTGTACAGACTGAGACCACAATAAACATTAGTGGTTCATATAATATAGTACCGGACTTGACGAAACCTATTGTGACACAGAGAAGAATACCGTAGAAGGAAAAAAGGTTGTTATTGTATACTAAGTTTAATGTAGAAACATTTTGTGTTTAATATATTTTTTGTTTTTTTTTTTATTACTACTTTATTTGTATTCTTTCTTTTTTTAAGTTTCTTTTTTGTAAATAGTTTACACGCATTTTTTTGTTACATTGGTATTCGTAATTGAATGAAGCTTATTTTGTTTTTTTTTTTATTTCTTTTAGTATAAGGCTAAGATCGGAAGACTTACAGTCTAAGTAAAAATTAAGCTAAGCGACGGAAACATAGACTTAGCTAGTTTCCTAGACTTTTATTTTTATTGTAATTAGATCATATTTACAATTGAATTTTATTGTAAATAATTATTATTTTATGATTTCTTTTTTGTATCTTTTTTTTATTAAATTTATTTTATTGTTTTTTTTTATTTAATAAAACCTTATTTTTTGTTGTTCTTTTCTTTTATATAAAAAAAGAAATTCTTACAGTTTAATGTAAGAATTTTTTATAATATTTAAAACCCGCAAATTATTTGAACCAAGAGATCGTCTTATAAGATGCCGACGGTTCAGTTACACTCGCTTATTTCATTTTTAACTTCAATAAGAAAATTTCATTTGAAAGTATTTTCTATGAATTTCTTAATGACTGGAAATTATCACTATTTTATCACGACATCCATCTTTTTTTTTGTTTGATGTACTTTCTTGAATTCCTTACTTAAAAAATAATAATGGGTTTACGAAATGTTCTCTTAGTTAGTGATAAATTCTTTTATTTTGTTTCATTAGCACCATTTTTGATTTCGTCACATGTCAAATGCAACTAAAATAAATATAATTCAACCTCGACATTTATCTATCTCAAGGTGATAGAGATTAAAATTAAAAGAAAATCTTTGTGACATATTGTTAAGAGACGATGAAAATGTTTCCCAAATCTGTATGATACAAAATTATTAATAAGATTGAATTAATAGAAAATGCTTTGGAAAACAAAATTCATTAGTATATATAGAACAAAAGGGACTTATTCATTGAAAAGTATATTTTTCCGCATATTTAATGAAAGGACATATTTTTTTATAATATTTTATCATTTCCATAGACAGATACATATGTCGACGATGTAAGTACCCATATTATTTTTGTACGTATCGTAATACTACCGTATAATTGAATATTCTACCCGTAAAAAAATAAAAGAAAAAACAAACAAAAGATAATTTTTTTTGGGCCCCAAAGCGCTTCGCAATTATATTTTCAAAGGTACAACGTAACATTTCGGAATAATATAAAAAAAATGCGATCGCAATGAGAAAATTATATTTACGCATATTTTGTATTCTTAACTACATTTTTTTATTTACTACACCAGGTAGTTCTTTTGTACATTTCATATATTTCAGATTTTTAAGAGCACAAAATGTATTTGCGCAAAATAACTTCAAACAAAAGATTATTTACAAAAATAAACCAATAGTTCGTTACGAGCCGCTAAAATATATTTGGGGTTAAATAAATGATTTCTTTGTAAATTGTATTATTATCAATTCGTTTTGGACAAAACTACAAGTTGCTTAAACTATTTGAAACTAAAATAATTAAAATAATTAACGTCACGCGTATAATTAAACTATACATTAAAATTTGGTTTAACTGACATCTAGCGGACAAAAGGAATATAAATGATATTATCATGTTCAAATCGAAATAGTTTCGACGGTCCTCACTAGATGGCGTTGACGCATACATCGCACGCGCAGGATAGTTAGTTTCTATTTCTTAATGATAGATGGCATTAACAATAAATACTTATATCTTTATAACTTTCGTATAGATGACGCTCTTAACCACGAATTCACATGTTAAATTATAAAATAAAATTATTTATTGATATATAAAGCGACTTATTATCAATTAGTATATTGAAGTTGAAAGAAAATAAAGTAATTCGTTGAACATAGGCTGTATAATGTAAGCTTTATCATTAATTTCGTCACAAAATTTATTTGGAGGTTCTCGCAAACTTGGTTGGTGTTTTACTGAAGGAGGCGTGTGTTCTCATACAAGGCGAAGGCTTCTAAGAATGGGGGCGTATGAGAGGAACTTCTAAGAAAGTGGGCGTGGGGCGTCATAAGCTCTATTGGTAGAGCTATTGTTTGAATGAATTATTTATATGATAATAACTCTATATTGATCTGTGGGCGGAATTAGTTTTATGTAGTTTCTGTAACATAACTATTCATTAGTTATAAAGTAGAACATATCAAAGACGGATCTTATCGATAGAGTTATTGATATTTAAACCTTGATACATTATATATATCAAATATATCTCTAAATATCTACAAAAATTACTATAAGATGATAAGTAATATATATAAAAAAGTCTTTTATATCAATGATATTTCTTCTCATATAACATATTTATATAAATCGTATCTGAATGTTATTACATATATCTACTATGTATATATATGTTTCATACATACATGCTCTATCAGAGTCAATAGCCAGTAGAGCTAACCACGCCCCGTATCTTAACCACCCACTTCCTTGCACCGCCTTTCTTGTAACCTACTTCCCTATTGGATCTTTGTACAGTTTTCATACAAACATCTTCATAAAGAATATTACTCTACATATTATCTTCTATAATATGTTTTATAATACATTAACTCTACATTTAAAACAATATAATATACGTAGAGAACTAAAATGATTCGCTCTATGATTTAAGACATTAAATGACGTAAATATTGTATATATAAATAAATAATCCATTTAAATTCGATTCTATTTGACTATAAAACATGGGAAAGAAAAATCAGAGTTGCTGTTATTATATTCATGTTTTAAATCGCTATTTTAGATACACAAAGACATATATACTAAGACAGACAAAGCCGGAAGCTAATATTAGTATATTACGTTATAGTATTATTTATATTTATTGTAAATAATAATTTCAGAGCGACATCCGGTGTGGGGTTCGCGTCTACTAACATCTTTCAGTAAGTATTAAATATATTAATATAATTATAAATACATATATAAAAAACATATATTTCCAAATATCAAGCCATTATATTAAAACCGTATAACATATGAAAAAACTATTACAAAAGATTCTTTCTACATTTCTATAACTTCGTACGTGAATATAACATATAACATGAAGCCGTAATGACATCCAAGATCCCCGCATCATCAGAACTGATCTTAATTCCCAACTCTTAATGAGACCCGGCTCCGTACAATGCGTGCGTGCTTAGTTTTTTTTTTTTTTTTCTAAACCGATTCAAGGACCGAGCGCATTCAGCCAGACGTTTAAAAAGATGCAGTTTAAGTAATGATCCTACATGGAGGTTGTAGGGAATGAGGTTGAAGCTGTTTTTAATTTCGTTAGTGGGTTATTGTTTGCGCGGGTTCAATTTATCTTAGTGGTTCGTAACTTTTCTTTTAAACGCGACCTATATTTCGTTTATATATTATTGTTTTATCATCCGTCTAATTCATTCTTTATCTTCTTGTGAGTTAAAAGACGATTTTTAATGCCACAAATGAAGTGGCGGGAGAGCATCTCCATTACACGGAGAGCATGAGAGATGCGGCCGCGATTAACGGCTTAAGAATCTTTGTAATTACGAGTTACGGAACGTGAACGTGATGGCAGGCTCGGCGTGTGTACGGTTTAGGAGTTATGACATAACTGACGTATGTAACAGACATACATACATCGATTATATTATGATATTTTTGAGACGAATTACGCCTGTGCTTATGTTTCAAATATGGCTATTATATATTATTGGAGTAAAATAATCTATTCTTAGAAAGTGGATATATTATGTATATTAAAAGTTGTTAAAATTATATCACGTAAATATATATTAAGAAATATATATATAATTGAATGAATAGTAGGTAATGACGAATGTAAAATTATTAAGAAATATTTTCTTTGACGAATTAAATGTTGATTACGTTTCGTTTATATTTAGATAATATTTCATTTATCGTATATTGTATACAAATGATAAAAAAAATCTCAATTTCTTCACATAATTTGATACAAATTCCTTAAATCGCGTCATAATTGTCCTATATCTCCACTTTCTTAACATTTAAAGTACGTCATTGTTTTTTCCCACTGTTCCTTTCCGTTCCTCTCATTTCCTCCGAACTCCCTCATCTTCCCTCAGCCAACTCCTCGTGTCGTTAATGTGTAAACTTTAACTAACTTTATACAGTAAGTGTCAAACCGTGACGCATTAACGCCCAAGTCGGCGTGTTTAATGCGTGTACACTTTACTTAGAAAACATACGGATTAGAATTCTGGTGAAAAACGAGCGATTTTTATTATGTAAGAAAAAAATCTATTAAGAAATTACATTGAATTAGATTCGTATTGGAAATTTTAATGGTTATTCTAATATGTATACAAGATTTTTCTTATTGTAATGTACATTTCGTTTGATATATTTATTTAGTTTGATTACTATAGAACTTTAATAAACAAAATTTTAGAGAATTTAATAGTTTTAATGATTTTAATGTCTTTATAATATATTGTCATAAGA